CTGTTGCAGTTCGCCAGAGACTGTTGTAAATTGCAGAGACTGTTGTAAATTGCCAGAGACTGTGGCAAACTGCCAGAGACTGTTGCAAACTGCCACAGATTGTTGCAAACTGCCACAGATTTGTTGCAAACTGCCACAGATTGTTGCAAACTGCCAGAGTCTGTTGCAAACTGCCAGAGACTGTTGCAAACTGCCAGAGACTGTTGCAAACTGCCAGAGATTGTTGTAGATCATCTGAGACTGTTGCAGATTGCCAGAGACTGTTGTAGATCATCTGAGACTGTTGTAGATCATCTGAGACTGTTGCAGATTGCCAGAGACTGTTCTAAATCGTCAGAGATCATCTGAAAATGTTGTAGATCGCAAAAGACTGTTGCAGTCTATAAATCTGCAATTCTTCTTACTTAAAAAAATTGAAGCATTGATGAAATTTTGGATTATTTTGCAACTTCAGTTTAAACTTGCGGCACCCAATTACTTGTTGCTTTTCTATGCATATAATTAAAAATCTGAATAATCATGGTGGAAAATTGTAGATGTATGTTGATGATTGAGCTATATTATTGAAAGCGTCAGCGCAAAAATATCCCAATTAGCATCTTTTTTAAGAGACTTATACTGGTCTTTGCAAGAAGATACTTGCATAATGTACAAATATCAGCACTATCTTATACACTTCTGTATTCAAATCTTCTTGTACGTAATAACATTGCTTACACTAAAGCAAATTCCAACCAAAAAATAATCCTTCTCAACATTATTGCTCTTGCTCATAGTTAATTTCTTTTATTAATAACTTGTAAATCAATCAATATTTTATACTCTTTTTTACCTTGAATGACCTTTCTTACCTAATCTTTTTTACCTTTCAGTGAGCCCCAAGGCATGTCATTCATCGAGACCGCCAATCTGGATGGCGAGACAAACCTAAAAATCCGTCAAGCAGTTCCCAGAACCGCCAGCATACAAAACGCTACAGAACTAGGAGAATTAACCGCCACTTTGGAATGTGAACCACCAAACAGACTTTTGTACGAATTCGCAGGCGTTCTTAAACCTCACGGAGAACAGTAAGTCTAGTAAACACTAGGGTTTATACAAAAACCGACATTTCAGAAAACCGGTTTTCGAATTTTCATTTTACTAAAAAAACGGTTTTAACCGGTTTTCGAATTTTATATAGAAAATAAATGTGCTCGAATATTCTGTATTTATCCGCATATTTTGTGTAACTTAGAGTAGTATTTGACTGAATTTATTATTGTTCAATTTTATAGATAGTAAACAAAATGACTTTAAGTTTAATTAGTAGAAATAAAAATAATAGTTTATCGGGATTAAATAACTTTGAAAATAATTATTCGTTATTCTTGCATCATTTTCACATATAAGAATGAAAATATTTTTATAATAGTGAAAGAAAAGTTTTCGATTAAATAAAAATAATACATTTATAAAAAAAACATTCAAAAATTAAAAAACAAAAATAAAAAAAATATTAGATACATGTTGATACATACTTGTTAATATCAATTTTTAATTTAAAAAAATTAAGCTAAACTCGGGTATTGCCTGTTCCGAGCAATTTTAATCAATTTATTTTAAACATTCTAATTGTTTTTTTTTTGTTTAATAAAATATGTTTTTAAAAAACTGAGAACGTCTATCGAATTGCCACTGAAATAGAAAATACTCTCATACTTGCGACCAATATGCTTAATTGTTTTTAAAGTATGATATAATCATTCTAAGCTTTTTGTTCTTTAATTTGTGGCTTCTAGGGTTTAAAACTCTTTTTTTTTAAGTTTGAGTAAATGAAGTTACTTCTTCAAGAAGAAGTCTCACTGATTTAAATTAAAATTTACTCTGGTATAAAAATCTATATATATATATATATATATATATATATATATATATATCCTTTCTGGGAACCATTGCAGACTGATAAGATATCAAATGTTATTAAACTAATATGATTTAAAGAATCAAAACGCTTTCATCTATATTTTATTTCTGGCTATATTTTTCATTTTCCATATATACAGTAAAACCCGACTTTTTTCACTAAAAAACCGGTTTTCGAATTTCATAATTTTCGCAAAAAAAAAAACGGTTTTAAAACCGGTTTTTGAAAACCGACAAACTCTAGTTTCTATGATACTTCTGAGTTTGCCAATTTCGATATCAAACATTATTTTGATAATGAAATGCCTACTGATAATAATTGATACTTTTTTTCCAACAATTACAATTATTTTTTTCTTTTTTCTATACCTTTTCTAATTTTTGTTCTATATTATTTTAACATTTTTCTACTTAAAATATTTTATCATTACAATTATTTTCATATTATATATTTTTTTTGTATTGCTCTTAATTATTATTTTCCAGATATGGGACTCAAATAAAAATTGCATAACGGATATTTAAAGGATTTTTTTACCATAAGAAGAATCTCAAGATCTACAAGCCTTAATTAAACTATTTGAATTTTATAACATTTTTTTCTTCAAGTTATTTAATTCTTGTATTGTCAATAGTTGTATTTTCACTGTAATTAATTCAGTTAAGGGGGTTGTTCGTTTTTTTTTTCGGTTTTGAGATTTTTTGATATTATGAAAGCTAAAAACCTTAGAATTATTTTTTAAAAAAAAACATCTCGATATCTATTTTTTTGACGAAGTTATAGATATATATACACCTAAGTCTGTTTTTACACGGAGATTGGTTCCAGAAGAAACCGTGTAAAAAAAAAAACGTGTAAAAAAAGACATTGATCTTATACAAAAATAGGTGATTTGTTCCTAATTTCTAAAACCTATTAAAATTGGTGAAAAACAAGAATTTTTAAGAACAAGAATTAAATTATTGCTATTCACATTTGCTTTGACCAGTAAAAATTGTTTGTACGCGCTAAAGGGGAATTCACTTCAATCTTTAAGCTAGTGTTCGCAAACTATCGATACTATCGATGGTTTCAGACTTTTTACTTTCATAAATACTTTTTTGTGATATGAACATACTTCGCAAAAATTTAATTTGACAAAAAAATTTAGGTACATAAAATTTCAAATCGCGCTAAATGGAATAAATTCGTGTAAAAAAATTAAAAATATTTAATTTTCAAACCGTGTTATATCAAAACCGTGTACAAAAAGACCGTGTAAAAACAGACTTAGGTGTATATCTCTATACGTATGATCCTCTGAAAGCATTTTTTTATCGCTTCGCAAGCTATTGTATGCCAGCTGCTCTCTTTTTCATTATAATACCTCATGCACATGACCTTTTTAATGTGTCAGCATCTTTGAACACCATGGCGTATTTAGTACATTAAATTAAATGGTGTATTTAGTACATTATATTAAAAACTTTGAATACGCTGTTCTCAAATTGACTTTGTTCAATGCGGTGCCACAAATTAAAAAAAAACTACAAGTCGGATCGACTTGCATTTTTTTTTTAATTTGTTCACCACTGCAATACCTAGTCCCCCTACCTCAAACAACTTGATAACATTACGCAAAAAAAATTTGCGAACGTTCTCGTCCCAAAAAAACGCCTTTTTTGGCACTTTTTTTTAAAATAGCTGCCATTTTTCCTTTTTGCTTTTTTTATTTCATTTTGGTAGGGGGCCTGCATTTAAACTTCTTCTCCAACGTAGTTTTTTGTTTCGGGCGATGCGCAACGGATTTATCTGTGGCACCGCAAAAGAGATCGATTTTGCAAGACCGACTTTGGCGCTCCCTAGTTAAAAAATGACGGCGCAAAAAAAAGAAGAAAATTACGTAATATTTTATGATTTTGTAATTTTTGTTTAAAAAAAACGCATGTCTCTATGATGAATACATTTCGAGGAAAACAAAAACAAATACCTTGCAAGAACCCCTTCAGATAATTTATTTTCTGTAATTATTAAATTTAATCCCGTATCCGTACTATAAACATAAATATGAATATAAGCCTGGCAAAAACCAACCACCAATTTGACCAGATATTAGGTTGTCAAATATCTCCCTTCCGCTTTTTTGCTCTTGGTTTATAATACAAAAAGGCGGAAGGGAGATATTTGACAACCTAATATGTATATAATTTTTTCTTTCCCAGGGCTATAGCTTTGGGTCCTGATCAACTCCTACTTCGTGGAGCAATGTTGAGGAACACAAGTTGGGCTTTCGGAGTAGTCGTCTATACTGGTCACGATACAAAGTTGATGCAAAACTCGACATCGGCTCCTTTGAAGAGATCGACTGTTGATAAATTGACCAACACGCAGATTTTGATGTTGTTCTTTATTTTGTGCGTACTTTGTTTGCTGTCGGCGATTTTCAATGAACTTTGGACCCAGAAAAGGGCGCAAAGCGACTGGTACATCGGACTGACGAGTAAGTATAAAGGACAGAGATTTTGTGATTTGTAATTGAGGGATTAATTAACTACCCGAAGGAGAAGTTTATGTTTTCATCCGATTTGCTAATTTTATGTTGCTCGACGTTTTCATCCAATCTGAATCGAATGAGATCAAATTTAAGGAAAAAGTATGTGTGTGAGTGTGTGTGTGTGCGTGTGTGTGCGTGTGTGTGAACAGATTTTTTGCCGTAAATTGACGTTTTCTCAAAAACGGCTGGACCGATTTCAAAAATTTCCATTGCCATTCGATGTATCGCTATGAGGACTAGCTTTTATCAATTTTGCGGGACGATCGGCCGAGCCGTTTCTTTGTAAATAGCAGAAAAGTGAAAAATATTTGGTCCAAGTTTTAGCCTGCAGTTCTAAATCGATTTTGAAAATTCAAAAACCGTTCTAAAAATATTGATTGGGAATCGTGCTGATTAGTTTTTGGTAGAAATCGGCCGGGCCGTTTTCTTGTATTAAAGTGTTAAAAAAAAAATTCGACGATTTTTGTTATTATTTTTTTGACGGTAGATACCATAGTCTCCTAGATTACGGCCCTATATAACCCGTTTAGCTTTAAAAATTCGTCAAAGTTTGCAAAAATTAGTATCGTTTTTTTGGCATTTATTAAAATTAGACCTTTCATTGCTCAAAAACGTTTGAACCGATTTCAGAAATTTAAAAGCCATTTGATGTATTTCGATGAGCACTATCGTTTGTCAGTTTGTGCGACGATCTGCCAAGCCGTTTCTTTGTAATTGAAAAAAAGTGTTAAACTTTTCGTCCAATTTAAGCTCATACTACCGAATCGATTCAAAAAAAATCAAAAACTGTTCGAAAGATATTAGTTGGAAATGATAATGATAAGTTTTAGATGAAATCTACCGAGACATTTTCTTGTAATAAACTGTTGAAAAAAAGCCGATTTTTATGGAACTTTTTTTGGCGATGTATATCATGGTCTTATAGAACTTACTGAAATATTACGGCCTTACGACAAGTAGTTTAATTGTGAAAAATTCATCAAGGTTTGAAAAAATGAGTTGTTTTTTTGACGTTTGCTAAAATTAAAATTAGACGATTTACTTGGTATAACAAAAGAGTACTTGGTCTTAATAAACATACTAAACCATTGAAGTCTTAAGGAAACTGGTTCAATTATAAAAATTATTGGTTTTTGAAAATTTGCTTTTAGAAAATACTCCGAGTTAACGTGTTCGTCCGTTTTCAATTATGTGTAATAAATTCACTCGGAATACTTTTAGTTACTCATAAATTAATTTATTTTTCATGGAGTCGATTAATTACATATATCGTGAAGTCCATGTAACTTGCCTCAAGGCAAATACCAATACCAACTAGTTTTATTTATTTATTTCAGATATAACAACAGTCAACTTAGGTTACAACTTGTTGACCTTCATCATCTTGTACAACAATCTCATCCCCATATCTTTGCAAGTGACTTTAGAAGTAGTCAGATTTATGCAGGTAACACATTTTATTTACTCAATACAATAAACCCTATTTTCATCAAAAAAATCAAAATCCATATTTCATTTTCCCCAGGCGATTTTTATAAACATGGACGTCCTAATGTACCATTCAGAGTCTGATACACCAGCCATGGCCAGGACTTCAAATCTAAACGAGGAATTGGGGATGGTTAAATACGTTTTCAGTGATAAAACAGGAACGTTGACCAGGAATGTTATGAAGTTGTCTAAGTGTTCTATTGGTGGAATTATTTATTCTTGTCCTGATTGCCCGGAAGGCAGCTTTAGAGATAGTCCGGTTGATGGACTTGATATTGAGGATGCTCAGAAAAGCGATCTGGTTCAGGTAATAATGATGAATGACTCATATTTTACTTCCTTGTTTTTGCCTCTGATCTTTGAATATGTTTGTGTTACTTTTTCAGAATTTACTCAACAATCATCCAACAGTCGACTTGCTTAAAGAATTTATGAGTTTGCTATCGGTTTGCCATACTGTGATACCTGAAAAGAGCGAGGATGGTAAAATACATTATCATGCATCATCACCAGGTAATAGATAAATAAATAAACTAGTGGTGTATGGCATCGTGCCTTAAGGCAAATTGCTGGAACTTCCCGTACCAAAATTTATTTTTTTTAAAAAAGATTAACATTTTTGAAAAATAATTACTCTGAAAATATTAGATTTTTGAGAAACTATAAATTTTTGACAAAAATTTACTTTTTTTTGAAAAAAAAACACTTTTTGAAGAAAAATATATTTTGAAATATTTTGGAAATTCTGAACTTTTTTTAAAAGCAATCGTACTGCTTTAACTGCATAAAGAAGAAATATCGAAGCGCGCAAGCGCCGCGCCGCCGTCTAACGGATAAACATTGGTACGGAGCCCATAGGAATGTAAACAAAATTTATACTTATTGTTAAAATTTTTATAAAATATCTGATAATTTGATCTGCATACGTCTAATGATCATTTTTGACCGCCAAATGGCATTTATTAACTTCCCGTAGGGTAAGTTATAGTAATCGCAAAAAAATCGAAAATGAAAATTTTTATATATCTTTACGTTTCAGAGGTTTCTGAACATTTTGGCATACCTTAGAAAAAATGGATGTATGTGTGTGTGTGTGTGTGTGTGTGTGTGTATGTGTGTGTATGTGTGTGTGTATGTGTGTGTGTATGTGTGTGTGTATGTATGTACGTGTGTGTATGTATGTGCGGATACAAATTTTCGTCGACGATTTCGGGAACACGGATCAACCGATTTGAATAATTCAAAAAACATTCGATTCGTATTGATAAGGAGACGTGCTGATTAGTTTTTGGCAAAGGCAGGTCTAGCCGTTCCGAAGATACGGGGCAAAAAGTGCCGAAAACGGTAACTCAGTTTTTGAGAGAACGGAGCGTCCGATTTAAATAATTCAAAAAACATTTCACTTGTATTGACAAGATGAAGAATCGATAAAATTTTCATAAATGTAGGTCTAGCGGTTTCGGAGATATGGAGGAAAAGTAAAAAAATGAGCCATTTGGCGGTCAAAAATGATCATTAGACATATGCACATCAAATTATCAGATATTTTATAGAGATTTTAACAATAAGTATACATTTTGTTAACATTCCTATGGGTTCCGTACCAATGCTTATGCGTTAGACAGCGACGCGGCGCTTACGCGCTTTATATTTTGTCCCTATGCAGTTAAATCAGTACGATTGCTTTGAAAAAAAAGTTCAGATCTTCCACAATATGTCAAAATAAAGGAAAAATTTTTTTTTTCAAAAAAAAAAAAAAAAAAAAAAAAAATTAAAAAAAAATTTTTTTTCAAAAAAAAATTAAAAATTTTTTTTTTTAAAAAAAAATTAAAATTTTTTTTTTTTTTTTAATTTTTTTTTTCAAAAAAAAGTAATTTTTTGTCCATATATATAGTTTCTCAAAAATCTTATTTTTTCAAAGTACATTTTTTTCAAAAATGTTAATCGTTTTTAAAAAATTAATAATTTTTGGTACGGGAAGTTCCAGCAATTTGCCTTAAGGCACGATGCCTTAATTGCCTTAAGACAGAATTCCACTTACAGCTAGTTTTTACCTTTTTTACTAGATCTCCCAAACCGCTAGACCTGCCATCATGAAAATTTGATAATTCTTCATCTTGTTAATGTTTTTTGAATTATTCGAATCGGACGCTCTGTTCTTTTAAAAACTGAGTTACCGTTTTTGACACTTTTTGCCCCATATCTTCGAAACGACTAGACCTGCCTTCGCGAAAAACTAATCAGCACGTCTCCTTATCAATATAAATCGAATGTTTTTTGAATTATTCAAATCGCTTCATCCGTGTTCCCGAAATCGTCGACGAAAATTTGTATCCGCCCACACACACACACATACATCAATTTTTTCTAAGGTATGCCAAAATATTCAGAAACCTCTGAAATGTAAAGATATATAAAAATTTTCATTTTCGATTTTTGCGATTACTATAACTTACCCTACGGGAAGTTAAAAATAGTTGCCTAATTTACACAAAATTCTAAAAGTGCTCCCGTATAGTCACAGTCTAAACGCATTTGCAAATAATTCTGTGCGACATTTTCACTTGTACTGTGCTTAGCTTGGCGGCATTTTCACATTTTTCAAATAGTTTTCACAAAATTCGAAAAGTGCTGCGGACATAAACAGTCTAAACGCACTTGGGTAAACATTTGTACCAGAGTGGCGCTTAGACTGTGCTTAGCCTGGGAATTTTTTTTTTAATTTTTAATCCAAAATTACAAAAACATTTTATTTAAATTAAAAAATATGTAATAATTTTTTTATCCTCAAAAGCAATTGTTTTGTCAATGCAAGCAGAAAGTGTTTTAGATCATTCAAATCGGACGCTTAGTTCACTCAAAAACTGCCATTTTTTGCACATTTAGCTCTGTATCTTCGAAATGGCGGGACCTGTCTTTGCCAAAAACTAATCACCTCTTCTCCCAATCATTACAAATTGAATGTTTTTTAGATCATTCAAATCCGATACTCCGTGCTCTCAAAAACTCGATTTGTATTTTCTGCACTCTTTGCTCTTTATCTCCGTAACTGCTGGACATGCCTTTGCCAAAAACTATTTATCTCATCTCCCTATCAAGAGGGATCGAATGTTTTTTAAACCATTCAAATTGGTTGATCCGTGCTCCCGAAATCGTCGACAGAAAAATTTGTATCCGCACACACACACATCCTATTTTTTCTGAGGTATGCCAAAATGTTCAGAAACCTTCAAAACGTCGAGAAATGCAAAAATGTTCATTTTCGATTTTCGGCCCATTACTACGGGAAGTTAATAAATAAAAATTCTGCATCAGCGACTTATTTATTAATTTTGGTCCTGTAGATGAAAGAGCTTTAGTAAGTGGTGCAAAGAAATACGGCTACTCATTTGAAACCCGGACACCACATCACGTAGAAGTAAACGCTTTGGGTGAAATTTTAAAATTTGAGATATTGAATGTTCTCGAATTTACTTCAACCAGGAAAAGAATGTCTGTTGTTGTTAGAACACCACAGGGTAAATTTAATGATGACTTAACAATTTTAGTCATCATACCTGGTTTTTAACTGGTGTCTATTTTTAGGCCAAATTAAATTATATTGTAAAGGAGCAGATACTGTGATATATGAAAGGTTAGCCAAAGAGGACACCAAATATCGAGAAGTAACTCTGAAACATTTGGACGAATTTGCTCGAGAAGGTCTGAGGACATTGTGTTGTGCAGTTGCTGATGTTAATCATGAATTTTATGAGGTAATATATATATATATATATATATATATATATGTATATATATATATATATTTATATTTATATATACTAGATGATCCGACAGACATTGTCCTGTTCCCACATCTACATTTTTTTTCATATCTCATACTAATATTTATGCTGTTCAGTTAAAAATTATAATTATTGTTTTTTGAATTACTTTTTACACCAATATATGAGTGATGTTAAATGTAGAACAGCTTCCAATAAAATGATGATTCTCAATTCCCACAGTTAACACTTTAATTATCCCTTTAACAAGTTTTAAAATATATTCAATAAAATTGTATATTAAAAATTATACACTGCACTTTATAGAACAAACTTATTTCCAATAGCTCAATTTATTTTAATGCCAAAGGTTATACAATGTTTTTAGTCATACCTGTAGATGTGGATAAATGAATGATTTTTTGTTTATTCACGACTAAAACATTGATTTTCCAAATTTTTCACACAAAAAATCATTGTCTGCCTTTTTGATGTATTTTTGGTAATAGCATAAGAACTTTTTTAAAAGGTATAACAAATTCAGAAGGAATTAATTTATAGCATTTGCGGTAAAAGTACAATATCACCTGAAAATTTTCTACCCAAAATAATTGCTTCAATAATATTGCCTATAATTTTAATAATTTCGTACCTTATTTTCAATATATATTATTACTTAAGTTCGTATTAGCAGTGAATAAATTTGACAAATCCTGTTCACATGTGCTCTATTTATTCTACGATCAACAAAATTATTGCAGTAAATGGAGAGGAAAAAAGCGTGTGCCCTCTGAATTTTTTTTACTGTACTCCAATTTGCTTGATATTTTGGAAATAGGTTAATCTTAATATCAAGTTCAGGGGTGAAAACAATTTGCACTCCTGCACCACCCCCCGCATTAATTGGATTACAACTCTTTTAATTCTGACTTCATCAGAACTTGTAATATACTATTTTAAAGATAAATGACAGACTTCTCAATGCCAAACAATGCCTCAAATATTTTCAATGTCAATGAATAATATGCGTGTTTTTATATTTTTTTCCATTTATTTCTGCAATCTAACTATATTTCTATAATTCAAAAAATCCTAAAAGAATCCCATAACAAACTTCAGAAAGATTTATCAAAATCCGAATAATTGTTTAGTAGGATTATCCTTTCTACACCATTACAGAAGAATTTTAACGCTCCAATTGATTCTACGTTTTAGTTAGAAAACGTTTGCACGTGAAAAAGAAAAGGGCTGTTTTTAGGGTTTTCCCGGAAATCATTGGATTGTTTTCTCGCCGTAAGAACTATCCTTGGACTTCAACGAACATTTAAAACAAAAATTGGCCAAATTGGCCCAGGCGTTGTTGAGTTATGCGCTTACCAACACATTTTGCGATTCATTGTTATATATAAGATTATAATAATTATTTTTATCAGGAATGGAAACACATATATCACAAAGCAGCTACCAGTTTACAAGATCGTGAATTGAAAATCGAAGAAGCAGCTAATCTCATAGAAACTAATTTGAAACTTCTAGGAGCCAGTGCTATCGAAGACAAACTACAAGTAAATACTTTTGCACAACTCAGCCATCTTATAACATTTTTTATTATAATTATTAATTGTTTTTTATCATTATTATTTTCAGGAAGGTGTACCAGAGACAATAGCAGCCTTGATCAAAGCAGACATTGCTGTTTGGATTTTAACAGGGGACAAACAAGAAACAGCCATAAACATCGGATACTCTTGTCGTCTCATTGTTCATGGGATGCCTTTGATAGTCCTGAATGAAGATAGTTTAGATGTAAATACCTTCACAATTACTGTTACGTTCTTGTTACATTTATATTACAATTATTTACAATGTTTTTTAATTTCAGAGTACTAGAGACACGATATCCAGACACAATGCTGATTTCGGGGAGCAGCTTGGTAAACAAAACGAGGTAGCCTTAGTCGTAGATGGTAAAACTTTGAAGTACGCCTTGGCTTGTGATCTCCGGAGGGACTTTGTGGATCTTTGCACTTCTTGCAAGGTTGTTATATGCTGTAGGGTCTCACCGATACAAAAGGCAGAGGTAAAATTAATCACAATACTATATATATATATATATATATATATATATATATATATGCATGTATTTTTTGTAGGTTGTCGATCTAGTCACCCAGCACACTGGCAGTGTGACATTGGCCATAGGAGATGGTGCCAACGATGTGGCCATGATTCAAAAAGCTAATGTTGGTGTTGGCATATCAGGAGTCGAAGGTCTTCAGGCTTCTTGTGCCTCTGATTATTCTATAGCACAGGTAAAGAATTATCTTCTTTGCCTCTCTTTTATTTCAATTTCTTTTATTTAACTTCGGACCTAATGTGTTTTTTTTTTTATTTGCAGTTTCGATTTCTCCAAAGGCTGCTGCTGGTGCACGGAGCCTGGAATTATAGTCGAATGTGCAAATTAATTTTATACAGTTTCTACAAAAATATTTGTCTTTATGTCATCGAGTTGTGGTTTGCTATTTATTCTGGATGGTAAGAACAAAACTTTGTACTAACCTCTAATGACAAATTATGTTTAATTGATTTCTATTTATTGTATTTTAGGTCTGGTCAAATTTTATTTGAACGCTGGACTATTGGTTTATATAATGTATTGTTTACGGCTATGCCTCCTTTGGCAATGGGTATATTTGATAAAGTCTGCTCTGCCGACACCATGATAAAGTAAGTTTATACATTATATATATATATATATATATATATATATATATATATATATATATATATATATATATATATATTTAATAATTTTTTTTAGATATCCGGCCTTGTACAAACCGTCCCAGAGTGCCCAATTATTCAATGTCCGAGTATTCTGGGTGTGGATCTTCAACGCCTTACTCCACTCCATCTCATTGTACTGGTTACCTCTGTTTATCTGTGATTATCACGTCTTGTGGAAAAATGGAAAGGAAGGTGGATATCTCGTCTTGGGAAATATGGTTTACACGGTAAGAGTTGAATTATAATTACAAATGATCAAAAAAGGATGAAACTAGTAGTAAATTTGCTGTATATATATATATATATATATATATATATATATATATATATATATCATCAGGGCCGGTCCTACCTTGAATGCAATGCATGCAAAAATGCGGGCGCACGACTTAGGGGGCGCCAAAACGAGATTCGGAAATAAAATTTATTATATATTTTTTAAATATAAAAGCAAGAATACTTAATAGATTATGATAAATAATGGATAATAGATTATGGTAAACTATGGTTTACGAAAATACAGAAAGCATATATAGTTTGCAATGTGATACAATATGTAGATACAATTAATCGATTAATAACTCCGCAAATCAATAAATTATTGTTTTTCTTATCGCTTAATCTTTTATTGAATATTTTTTGTTTGAAGTTAACGTGGAATCAAAAAAGAAATCACTTAGTGTTCAATCCCATAAGTTCAAACCTGCGAAAGATTAAATTAATTATTGGACATTATTGACGAAAAATTGCGAGCTGATTAAGTTGAAACGAAAATTGTTAAAAAAAATAGATACAAATTATAATAGAAAAAATGGAAAATGGGTAATTAAGTGCTTAAAAAATGGCTTATTTATTCCGAGAAATTGAATTGTAACTTTTGTTTTCGTTGCGAATGTTATGAATCTGACGAACTTCGAATTTTGAAGGAATGCATGCTTATACAGTCCAGTCATTTGGTGCAAAAAAAGACTGTTGCCGGTACAGTACTCCGTAAATTCTGAAAATTGGTAATTTAATAGATTTCGAGGTGTTTTTACGAAAATCAACTTTGCCACCTCAAATTTGAACGGCAAGTTGCCGCCATATTGAAAAAATGGCCTCAAAAAACAGCTTTTTTATAATATCTCCTTTCTGGCTGATTCTGCGATAAAGGTATCTATGTACGAATTAAACTAGAGAAAATTTCCTACAATTCTTTAGAAAACCATTTTTTTGTAAAATTGATAGTTTGAGAGTACGGCCGCCTCAAAGTCTTTGCTGCTCTCGTCGTAGTATCAAATCTGTCCGTATATGACAGCACTTCGAACTTGACCACATTCTCTCTAATAATTAATATTTTCAATGTTAAATTAAGCGAATAAGATCTAGAAATAAAATAATTCAATTATTTTTCGTTTTTTTTTTGCTAATTTTTTAACACTTCAAAGGCAAAGTAGCTATAAATATACTTATAGCTTGAGTAGCACCTTATAGCGTCAAGTAGCTTGAAGCGTTAAAAAATCAGCAAAAAAACAGAAAAATATTTGAATTATTTTATTTCTAGATCTTATTCGCTTAATTTAACATTGAAAATATTAATTATTAGAGAGAATGTGGTCAAGTTCGAAGTGCTGTCATATACGGACAGATTTGATACTACGACGAGAGCAGCAAAGACTTTGAGGCGGCCGTACTCTCAAACTATCAATTTTACAAAAAAAAACATTTTCTAAAGAATTGTAGGAAATTTTCTCTAGTTTAATTCGTACATAGATACCTTTACCGCAGAATCAGCCAGAAAGGAGATATTTTAAAAAAGCTGTTTTTTGACGCTATTTTTTCAATATGGCGGCAACTTGCCGTTCAAATTTGAGGTGGCAAAGTTGATTTTCGTAAAGAGCACCTCGAAATCTATTAAATTACCAATTTTCAGAATTTACGGAGTACTGTACCGGCAAAACGACCAAATGACTGGACTAATAGGTTTATGGAAGCAAAATTCACTTTGGAACAAACTTTGCAAAAATCGTTGAGGTTTTTTTATATATAGTGGTGCTCATACTTTAAAATTGATTATTAAATATGCAAAAATAATACAGATACAAATATAATTAGTTTTTTTTTGGGGGGGGGGGCGCTAGAAAAAAAGTTGCATGCGGGCGCTGAGGACCCCAGGACCGGCCCTGACTATCATTATATATATATATATATATATATATATATATATATAATTTTTGTTTCAGTATGTGGTTGTGACTGTTTGTTTAAAAGCTGGTTTAATCTTCAACTCATGGACCTGGCTGAGCCATTGTTCCATCTGGGGTTCGATACTCTTATGGTTCCTCTTCATACTTATTTACAGGTCAGCTTTATTCAAAATCTTCATCACAATAAAATCTAAATTATAATTTTAGTATCAATTGTTATTTTTATTTTAGTAATTTCTGGCCAATAATACCAGTGGGTGCAGTCATGCAGGGCACCGACAGAATGCTGTTTTCAACGCCTGTGTTCTGGTTAGGATTGATTCTGATACCGGTTGCTACCATGATATTAGATGTCACAGTCAAAGTGTAAGTAGAAAAAATATTTTCATCATTTCCAACATTTCCTATATCCTCTAAATTATCCTTAAATCCTTTCCTAGTGTATTTCCTGTAACCCAGTTCCCGATTGTGACATCACCTGCATCCAGGGGCAACCTGTTGCATAACTTGGGAGTGCATTCAGGATTCATCAGATTCTCTCCTGAATACGATCTGGTGGTCGACCATAGTATTTTTTGTATGATGATAGAGGAACATTGTAAAATGTAGGAAAAAAATTTATTTATTTATTTATTTATTTTTAAATATATAGCCCACAGATTTCTTCCAAGAGGACTCAAAAATACAATTATTTTACATAATGAATAACAATTAAAATATATACAAAATTACAATATGTAGTTATCAACATAAAATGCTTAACATAAAATTACACATAATGCAGAATGTAACAATATTATTTATAAACAGAACAAGCTGTAAGTGGAATTCTGTCTTAAGGCAATTAAGGCATCGTGCCTTAAGGCAAATTGCTGGAACTTCCCGTACCAATTTTTTTTTTTAAACGATTAACATTTTTTGAAAAAAAATTACTTCAAAAAAATAAGATTTTAGAGAACATATAAATTGGACCAAAAATTACTTTTTTTTGAAAAAAAAATTAAAAATTTTTTTTTTGAAAAAAAATGTTTTCTTTATTTTGACATATTTTGGAAGATCTAAACTTTTTTTCAAAGCAATCGTACTGCTTTTACTGCATAAAGACGAAATAATATCATAAAATATCAAAGCGCGTAAGCGCCGCGTCGCCGTCTAACGCGTAAACATTGGTACGGAACCCATAGGACTGTAAACCAAATTCATACTTATTGTTAAAATCTCTATAAAATATCTGATAATTTGATGTGCATAAGTCTAATGATCATTTTTGACCGCCAAATGGCATTTTTTTTTACTTTTTTCATTAGATCTCCGAAACCGCTAGTCCTGCCTTTATGAAAATTTGATCGGTTTTTCACCTTGTCAATATAAGTAAAATGTTTTTTGCATTATTAAAATCGGACGCTTCGTTCTCTTAAAAACTGAGTTACCGTTTTCGGCAGTTTTTGCTCCGTATCTTCGGAACGGCTAGACCTCCCTGCGCCAAAAACTAATCAGCACGTCTCCTTATCAATACGAATCGAATGTTTTTTGAATTAATCAAATCGGTTGATTCGTGTTCCCGAAATCGTCGACGAAAATTTGTATCCGCACATACATACAACACACGTACATACATACATACATACATACACACACACACATACACACACACACACACACACATACATCCATTTTTTCTAAGGTATGCCAAAATGTTCAGAAACCTCTGAAACGTAAAGATATATAAACATTTTCATTTTCGATATTTTTGCGATTACTATAACTTGCCCTACGGGAAGTTAATAATGAAATATTTGAAAAGAAAATAAAAAGGTTAACTTGTGCAGATGGAGATTATTTGATTAGGTGAAGTGTTGTGAATATCTATTTCATTATTAATTAAGTTAAAGTTAGAGGACACATAAGTAAAATAGGCGAATTTAAGAGAGAATTAGATTTAGGAGTAGGATAATTGAAAAAGAATTGTGAACGCGTAGTTAGCCTTGAAACATTAAAGGATAGTTGACTAAGAATAAGAGGACAGTCTATAGAATTATTGCAAAGTTTAAATAAGAACATAATTGTACAGATAAATCGACGTGAGGCAATAAAAGGAATTCCAAATTCTTTTAGTAAAGTGTTGTGGTCAAAGACACGTTCAGGGTAAATTTTATATGTTTTATAATAAAGATATTTCAGAAATTTTCGCTGAACCTTCTCTATCGCATCAGAGTTGTTGATTTGATGAGGATACCAAATGATCGAACCATATTCTAACTTTGAACGTACAATAGAATAGTACATGCAAAGAAGTGTATTATTTGAATTGAATTGTTTACAATTTCTCAGTATCAAACCTTAAGATTTATGTGCTCTATTACAAATATCAGTTATATGATCAGAAGTATTATTATTATTTTTTTTATTGAATTTTGTAATAATAATAGTGGTTAATTTTGTAGTGTTAGGTTAGGTTTAAGTAAGTTCTTAGTATTTATTTTATATTTTTTATTTTTTTAGAATTCGAAGTACAGCATTCAAGACTCTAACTGAGCAAGTTCGAGAATCAGAAATCAAGAAAGCTGATCCGAGTGATGTCTTGCACAGAGTGGAGAAGCCATCGTGAGTACCACTTCAAAATTAATAGATTTTTTTTTTGATATATCAAATGAATAAATAATGAGTGGGGGAGGGAGGGGTATAGTAAGATATCACGTGTATTTAAATTTTATTTGGATTTTTTTTTAAATCCAAGTATTTTCATGAAAAATAAAAAAAAATACATTTTTTTCTTGTAACTAAAAATACATGTAATACTTAGTGAGGGAGAGAGGTAATTTTGAGTATAATCAAGGGGAGGGGGTCCGAAAATCCTTAAAAAATCGATCACGTGATCAATAGACGCCTCCTTAAGGAATTGATTTTAAATGTCCCAACTAGGCCCATTTTTTTAAAAAAGGGGCTCTTTCAAAATAGATCAATTTTCAAAACTCTAAATTCATAGTTTGAACAAATAGTCTTAATTCTAGAAAACTTCGGGCAATAGTCTCCCTTTTCCATCCCTTTTTAGTGTATCCCTTGCGAAGTTATTCACGGTTACAAATCCAAAGTTTAAATGAAAAAAAATAATAAAAATTAATTACAGTAACCGAAAATTGTTTGAAGTTTGACCAAAGCTCCCTTCCGGTTCGACGTTGAGTTCTGGGGCACCTGATATATATATATATATATATATATATATATTAATCATGTAATAAAGACTGAGTGCATTATTATTAAATTAAATGTATCCATCATAAGTCTATCTATGATTTTTACAAACTTTGTTAAAGAAAATTTTAATGAAGAAAGTGTAACTTCATCGTTTGAATAATAATTATAATTATTGATTAAAATAATATTTATATTGACTCAAATAATATTTATTATTATTGATCATTCGAATCATGATGCATTCAGGCTTTATTTATAAGAGAAATATGTACAACGATTTATTTATTCATTTGATTTAATTTAAAATTATTATCAAATGGTATATATAAATATACCATTTGATATTATTATAATAAATTAATATCATTATATATATCACAATATTCATTTGCACATAATCATAATCGCTTTTGATGTTTGATGGGCATGGTAAATATATGTATATGTATTTTAGGGTGGTCCTTAATATGGACATTTTCGAATTTCTTTCCTCCTTAGGGCTCAAATGCTTCATTAATAAAAGAAAATCTCTAAAAGTTTTAGCTCATAATATCAACATTTATGTAGTCTGCAATTCAATTAAAAGTTTCGTATATTTATTACTAACATATGTCATTAAGTAAATTCTTACGCCATCTGTGATAGCACTTGTGAACTTTACCTAAAAGTATTTATAAACACTCAACCTCTAATTAAATCCATGTGAATTGTTTAACGAAATATTTATTCACCATGGCATCAAGATTAATTTTGCTGCAAAATATTTATTGCTTAAGTAATAAAATGCCATCAAAATTACAAGTTTGCTATCAGACTATGCTACGCTATGGCGCAAGGGTTTACTTAATATACGAAACTTTGAATTGAATTGCGGACTATCTAAATGCTGATATTTAAAGCTAAAACTTTTAGAGAATTTTTCTTTATTAATTTGGAAGCTTTTGAGCTTTTGGGTGAAAAGAAATTCAAAAATGACCATAAGAAGGACCACCCTAATTTATATATCTCTACATATTGTGTGTGCATGTTGTTGATTTATATATATATTTATTATTGAATTTTTGTATATTTATAATATTATGTATGAATTTTTGCTTCGTGCTCCTAATCGTATATCGAGCTTTGCTTTTGTGCATGTTTTTAATATTGATGTATAATATATTTATTGTATATATATATATATATATATATATATATATATATATATACGTTGAAATGTTTTTGAACATCCATCCAATAATAAAAAAGAATTTAATGAAGAAGAATATGTCTTTAGCATACGTTTCGAGTCTTGGTTTGACTCATCTTCAGTGCTTATTTATATGGAAAAAATATCTATTACAAATTTATAGTTACTATGAAAATGCACCAGCATAATTCACATGTTGACATTTATATATAATTTTTTGATGAACTTAAATTTTTTATTTTTAATTAAATGTGACGTTCGTTCCAGTTTCATCATGACAATTGTCTTACCTTAAGATTATCATTTAAAAAAATTCAAAAAAATATAGATTTTTCTTTACGACCAATCGCATCAACTCCATTCAAGTGACGTCATCGGTCAATGACCAATCAGAATTTAAGAAAGTCAAGCGTAACCAACTTCAGTCCTATTGTCAGTTTCATAGCGTAGAAAGAAATATCTCCTAATGGCGCCTAAAGAAGTTTTACTTACATAAAATCTTTTTATTCAGTCCTATAAAGTCGATTGATTTGGTTATTATAAAGTACTCTCTTAACAGGATTAACAAATATTTAATTTTATCTTATTATTTTTTATATATTTTATGTGCTAGTGATTCGATTCGAAGTGAAACTTCATAAGGTACAGTGGTTCACAGTGTTTTATACCATTTTTGTGTGACGTCCAACGTTTTTTTGTGCTGTGATTTTTTTTCGACACAAACATACACATACACACATTGTGCTACATAGATCACACATTTGGTTTAGTTAGAAGTGGATTTAGGCTGTCACATTACATTTATGATAGATCATTGACGATATAGGATTATATAAATGACAGTTTTTTAGGTTATGGTTTAAGATGTAATGGGAATCTAGCTTGAAGTTAAAGTCACGACCTTTGTAAGTTAAATGAGAAATGATTATTTTTATTTCATCAATTTGTACAACATCTTAGTTTGCTCTTAAATATCATTTTTATTCTAGCAACATTAGATAAAACAAAAAAAATGATCAATTTGCACAAATTTGTGCTTCATAACTAAATTATTTTCAGTAACTACATACTTAATTCAATATTGCTTCATTATTAATTTTTTATATGTATATATAAAAGTCACATTGAAAATTGTTACCGACTCCTTCTCTATGCTCTAACAAATTAATAAGAATTTAGTTTCTAAATAAATTATTAAAATTTTAATTTTTAATTATATGAAAGTACAATTGATTTTAATAATCAAATAAAAATTAGTAAATCGGAAAAAAATAATCATTATTGGTAAATAAAATTACCTGGAATCCCTATTAATTAATTAGTGACTATATATAAATTCGGGCTAGATTTGCATTTTTAGTTACTTTAAGGTTTATATATGCATATATATATATATATATATATATATATATATATTTATATTTATTGGTAAAATGTTGTACATTAGCTTTGGAACTATTGTTGTAAAAAAAATCGGGAATTTTTAACAAAATTGTAAAAAAAATGGATATGAAGAACTAATATTTAATGCTTATGTATTGACAAACGTGAAAAATATGTTCTAAATAATATAATTAATAAGATAGATGTACGAATAACATAAATTTGCATCCCTGTCAATTGGCTGGTACAAAATTTAACGCTTTGGCTACAAACTAAAATTTTATACTGCTCATTTTTGGAAAAAAAAATAGGAATTTGACTTGGAAAAGGAATTTTGAACCAAAGTTATTGGTCTTATGGTATTTTCTGGTTGCAACTGAAACTTCAAATAATTTAGACCAATATATGAGACATGTGGCACTTGACTGCCTTCGCTAATAGCTTCTTCATTTAATTTATAAATTCCAGTGTCAAAAATGCCATTTTGTCCGAAATAGAAAGCAACTACTTCTAAGTCCTCAATTTGAATATTTTCTGGTTGTTCTCACTTTTAATGTTGATGGTGTTCATTATTTGGCTTCCAATTGGGAGCTATGTTTACAAAATGGCAAGTAACTACTTTTTTGTCCATAATTAGAATATCTCCTGAATGTCTCTACTTTTGTTTCTGATGGAGTTCATCAATTGCTTTCTAATTGAGGGCTCTGTTTACAAAATTTTTTGATTGAGTGTCCAAAATGACAATTTTTTGTTCAAAATTAAAAGGAACTATCTCTCTGTCGTTGACATCACTTTTTTCTGATGGATAGATTACTTCTCTATCCATAATTAGAATATCTCCTGAATGTCTCTACTGTTATTTCTGATGGAGTTCATCAATTGGTTTTGAATTGGGAGCTCTGTTCACAAATGTTTGTGTTTTTAGTGTCCAAAATGCAATTTTTTGTTCAAAATAGGAAGCAACTACACCGATGTTCATAATCAGACTATCTCCTGATTGACTTCACTTTTGTTTGGTAATGGATTGAACTAATGGATTTCATCAATTAGTTTCCAATTGGGAGCTGTGTTTACAAATTTTGTTTATGCACTGTCCAAAAGTCCAATTTTCTGTTCAAAATTGAAAGAACCTAATTTTATATCCATATTAAGACTATCACCTGCTTGACATCACTTTTGATGTTGATAGATTTTTAAAAATTGGTTTCCAATTGAGGGCTCTGTTTACAAAATTTTGTGTATCTAGTGTCCAAAATGAAAACTTTTTGTCGAAAATAGAAATCAACTACATTTTTGGACATATCTAGTTTTGTCTTAACTTTTGATGCTGATAGATTTCATCAAATGCTTTCCAATTGAAGGCTCTGTTTACAAAATTTTGTGTATCTAGTGTCCAAAATGACAACATTTTGTCCAAAATAGAAATCAACTACATTTTTGGACATAACTAGTATCTTTCCTATTTGTCTTCACTTTTGATGCTGATAGATTTCATCAAATGCTTTCCAATTGACGGCTCTGTTTGCAAAATTTTGTGTATCTAGTGTCCAAAATGACAACTTTCTGTTCAAAATAGAAAGCAACCACTTCTCTGTCAATAATTTAAGTATCTTCTGGTTGTTTTCACTTTTATTGCTGATGGTGTTCATTATTTGGTATCCAATTTGGGGCTCTGTTTACAAAATTTTGTTAAGGCGGTGTCCAAAATGCCAATTTTTTCACGAAAATGGCAAGTAACTGCTTCTCTCTGGGGCTCTGTTTATAAAATTTTTATTATTTTAGTGTTCAAAATGACAACTTTTTATCCAAAATAGAAATCAACTACATTTTTGGGCAT